TGTGTATCAAGTAGGAAATTAACGTAGATATTTTGTCAGAAGCAACAACTGCCACTCTTGTGAATCAAAACAAACCGACTTATTAATAAAATGTAAATTAAATTATAAAACGAAATATTTTGTTTCACATTCTTTACAGCGAAGGACTTGAATTTGGGGTAAATGTGGATGCTATGATAACGGCAAATCATTTTGGTTTTGAAATGTTTTTGATGCGAGGAAATAACTCATCACTGAAATTGCTTTATTACAAATGAAGCAACTCATAAGATACTTTCGTTCCTTAGATTTTGAGCTCGTTGTTTAGTTGCTGCAGATAATGTTTACATTGTTTGCTCGGAAATCTAAATTTAATAAATGAGATATTTCAATATTTTAATATAAACATAATAATATTAAAATATATATTTATTTCGAAAATTTCTTTTTATATGCAACTTTTAATATTGAGACTAAAATTTCTTTTAGAAAGCGATTGTTTTAGTGAAGCTTTAATCTTTCAGAATCAAATTCATTGTCATTGACTGTAAGGGTGTTATATAAAAAAGCCATCTTTGAGGATTTGAGTGTTCTAATGAAATGAATCACGTTAAGATCATAGTAGTGTACATGGCTTTATTGAAAAAGTTCAATTTTTGTGTAAGGAAAGCCGTAAATCGTCAGTATCTGTATAAATATTAACTTTAAACTAGTTTAATATCTATGATTCAAGTAAATAATCCAGATATTTGAAATATACTCATAGAAAATATTCCATTACAATGATTTCAAATTGTCATTGAAGTCGTCTCAGATGTCCGTTTCTTGCAATTATCAAATATTAAATATTTTCTGCAATAATAGAAAATTGTTTTTGTTTTATGTGACATAATATGTCCGTGATCTTCATAACGTATAAACTGTAACCGGTAACATTTAAAAACTAAAGCAGACTAATGATTCCATAAGCCCCTAAAGCATATTAAAGTTAATTATTGATTAAATAGCTAAATATTCTAAAATTCGAACTATTAATACTATTATCATGCCCCTGCCTTTTTATGGCTCATAAACGTGGCATGAGACATATAAATTAACGAGCAAAATGCAAGTCTGTATGAACAATTGTCTGCGTTATATATACAAGTTTTTTTACCAAACCATAACTCCAATATGGATCTAAATCGAGTGATGAACACTTGTGAAAAAGAAAATTGAAAGGAAAAACAGAATGAAGAGAGCTTCTAGATAATATCGAGTAGAAGGTGCTTGATTGAAATCTGAAAGGTTCGTGTAAGACAGATCATCTTCGTATTACCTAGACTGTTTTAATATATATGGAGTGTCTAAACAAAGATACATGCTGGAAGCATTATATATAGTTTCTTAATGTCTTGTTTTTTGTTAGCAGCGATCTTTGAAATTTATTTTAACCTAAAAATAATATTTTAATATCTGTATATCGTATGTTGAAAATATCAATAAGAAAAGAAATATACGAAATGTATTTCTGATGCACATATAAACACTAATCCCGTAGTTCTACAACGGGTACCTTCTGATCTCTAGTCGCCGCTTATGCAAACCCGTTAATCAAATGGTACTACAACGAATATCTTCTGACCTCTAGTCAACACATTTACAAACGCTAATTTCCTGCTACAACAACAGACCATTATTTGAGTCTAAGTGGGCTTTGGATACAAGACCGTCACTTCCACCTAATCTAAGATCATGTACCTTCTACAAAATAATTGATTTTGTAGTAAGTTATGAAATTGTGAACCATGATAGCATATGATAAAAGTATTGTTTGATATACAACCTTAATAAAGAAAAGTTTCATGAATTAGCGCCCCGTGCCGGTATGTTACAGTTATAGAGCTGACAAATACGATCTATTTCCGTTTCAGAAATTACTAGTCGATGGTGGTATGTTACTAAAATTGTGCCGCCAAATCAGAACTGCGAATGATTTACCTTTAACTATAATTGATTTTGTAGTAAGTTATGAAATTGTGAACCATGATAGCATATGATAAAACTATTGTTTGATATACAACCTTAATAAAGAAAAGTTTCATGAATTAGCGCCCCGTACCGGTATGTCACAGTTATAGAGCTGACAAATACGATCTATTTCCGTTTCAGAAATTACTAGTCGATGGTGGTATGTACCGCCAAATCAGAACTGCGAATGATTTACCTTTAACTACTCAAATTATATTTATTATTAGATTAAATAAAAAGACACAGTAGTTTTATTTTATTTATTATTATTTTTTTTATTAGTTTTACTTAGTGTTAATTAAACATATTTAATGTTAGCTGTAGACATAGTTGCAATAATTTCTTTACGAGTACAAAGAGTGTAACTAATTTGTTAAAAACTTTCATACAAAGCCCATAGATGTCTATCTTGACTTGAATGTCCACTTCTTATAGCAATCCAGTGTTCTTTCAATAAGATTTCTCTTTGGTTTGTGTTCTGTTATTTCCTGTAATTTGTTATATTAATTCAGTTTTACACTAAACATTAGTTTTACATTACATTTTGCTAGTTTCTGTTGTCTGTAACATCGAAATTATTTAAATTTTAATATTATTTTTTTTAATCTTACATTTTATTTAACATTATTTTTTGACATTTTCACTTGAAAATTCGAATCAACTTAATTCCTGTTTAATTTCAGAATTAAAATCGTGAATGTCAATTTAATTTTGATTCTCTTCAGTAAATATTTTGTCACATTGGAAATGTCGGTAGTGTGGTAAATGGTAATGGTAAATGTCAATTAATTCAATTATTTGCATTTTTCCAATGACAATTACATATTAACACATTATGTATATATTTTATTTAATTTTCATTTTTAATTTAAGTTTGTTTAACAGCAAAGTTCTTTGTAAAAATGCTTGTTTAAATATTAATTAACTTAATTTTAAACACAACACTCCGTTCAAATAAGTCAACGAAAATGAATAACAAATAATTTACAAAATATGAAAATATGCTTATATTAAAATATTTTTTTTTTTATTTACTTGTATTTCATGTTTTTACAAATAAAAGTTATTTTCCATATTTTCTTAGTATTTTCTTACTTAACTCGAATTTAATTATGAGTTTTATTTTTACATAGTCTATATACAAATTTTATAATTTATTTATGTGTTTTTTTGTTTTTTTTTTTTCTTTTTGGTAATGAACTTGGTAGCTTACTTAACCTAACACTAATTAAATTTTTTTAGTGCAATTATTATTAATAAATTATTTTATTTAATTTATGCTGATTACGCTACCATTTTTTATTGAGTAAAGTCCTTTACTTCAACTCAATATACAGACAAAAAATATACAAATTCACTAATTTGATTTGATTTTCGGTAGTTTTTATACTCGTATTACTACGTTTCATAATACTATTTTGATTAGGTTTTTATTTTTTATATAAATTTTAATTGTATTTTGATTTATTGGTTGCATAAATTTATGCTTTGATTTAATTTATATATTTTTTAGCAAATAATATTTCAACCATGTCGCCAATTTTTTATATTTTTTATGCACATAATCCTGTGTAATCCTTTATGCTTACATTACATTTATAACATATTCACATTAAAGTTTTAATAAAATTTATTTATATATTTGCACTTAAAATATGTTCTTTTTTCTTTTTTCTGTTTTAGCTTGTATAATTAATACTATTATTTACTTAAACAACATAAATAAAAATCCCTTTTTAACATGCCATTTTCCACGAATTTGTAATTTAAACTATTGACTTAAATGTGTTCAGCATTATTTATTTGTCTTTAACAATATTTTAATAATACAATAATTCTGTTTTATTTGCTATAAATAAGATTAAAATTAGTTTTTTTGTTTTTTGTTTTTGTTTTTGTTTTTGTTTTTTGTTTGATTTCGAATTATCGTTTCAATTTGTATCTTTGATTATTTTACATGCAAGTTGGTCACAACTGGCGTCTACGCCGACCACAACATGCTGTGCAACTTTGTGTAGTTCCTATGAACAATGCGCGCAAAACTGCAACTGAGCACAGTACAGCCAGCATTGTGGGGAGAGTGTGTGGTTGAGCATGGGTTGCGCTTCCTGTCAGCGCTGAATTGTCTGGATCACCATTGGCACGTTTCGAGCCTTCAAGTCCAAGTAGATTGGGCGAAATTGTTGTTGGCGGTGCTATGCTTAGCGTAATTCGTTGTTGTACATTTTTGTGATAGACATGCAGTATGGAAAGTTCGCAGAGCAGTAGAAGATTCGGTTGATACTTGGGCACAGCTTGGAAGAAACCCTGTAATATTTGGCTATGCGGGTACATCTCCAGAGCGGAATATGTTGCCGACCCCTCATAAGCATCCTGGCTTATGCGTTGATAAGGTGTTTTAAATATCTACAGAAAAATTCAAATATGATTTGATATAATTAAAATTTTTTATTATATAAATAATTAAGAAATAATTAATTTCAAATAGATCACAGTTTACTGGCGTTTTCGATTGTTAAATGTGGAATAATTTTTTCAATCGAGATGCTTTTCTAATGCACTTTTAATGCAAATGTCATTTTCGAATGTTAAATCTGACACAAAGTGTATAACACTCGAGTTTAACTTATAACACTCTTGATATATTGTCAGAGTTGTCAGATTACTCTAAAATTAACATGGTAATCAAAAAGATATTATTACATTATCTGTTAAATATGATTTCACAGATAAATTGTGATTTGATTTGATATATGTATTTGTAAAAAATATATATGAATATACTTTCACGACTAAAAAGATGTTAGATAAAAAAATTTGGTTGGACAACAAAATTTGTCAGATCGGAAGTAAATATAGATTGAACCCCGATTTATCAATCGAAAATGCCATCATATCATAATATAATGATTTAAAATCAAAAAGAATTCAATTAAAATTAAAAAAGTATAACGTAAGTATAACACTATACATAGTGTTATACATGAAGAAATTCACATGAATAAATTGACATGTAAATTTCATACACTGCTTGGCAACAGATGGGGCTTGTAATTCTCTTCTGAGATATAAAAGTACAAAATTAACGACTTTCTGTTTCGAAATCGGCGATTCCGTTTTCTCGGGTATTCTAATTCGAAAATAAATTGAAATAGGTTGAACTTTTTAGAGTACATTGTTTGCACTATGCTTTATGTCGATATAGCTTACTTAACGAGACATTATGACAGATATACCATACAATAAAATATGACTTATGTCACTGAAAGAATAGATCAAAGACTCTAGCAGCTTTTTTTTCTTAGAAAAGTTTTTGTATGTAAGTATGGGAAATAAATAAAAAAAATCAATAAAAAAGTTTTAATTTTTTAACCATTTAAAAGTATCTTCTGATATAGATAATATTGTTTACACACCTTTCGACCATTGATGTACCAAGTTATATTAGCTGGTGGATAAGACGTTCCAACAGTACAAACTGCTTTCAAGTTATCATTTACTGTTAATATCTTCTTTTCAACTTGCATTGTGGGTTCATCTTTGGGTAATTCAATGACCTGCATATGTGCTGAACGTATGTCTGTGTGAAAAAGTGGAGCATCTTCCGAAACTTCACATTGATAGGTACCAGATAGTTCCCGGTTGACACCTTTTAATGTTACGGATGTTGCATCAGATTTTAATAGCTAAAAAGAGTTAATATGGAATATATTAAATGAAATAAAGTTTTATGATATAATTTATATAATATTTTTAGATATTGTTGGTCACATTAATAATGGATCATAGGGTTTTTCCTATCATATCATGTCGAACTGTGTTTTGTATCTGGTTTCATTTTATAAATGATTTCTTACTTTTCAGGTTACATGGTAGTTTTTTGAAGATCACCAATTGTGTTTTACCTTCATGCCATTACAGCCTATGGCTATGGCCCAATCTGCTTCTTTGAATTGCCTAACATTGCCCAATACAGAAAGATGATGAAATTTGTGAGATATTCCTATTTTTTCTATCTTTCTATTTCTATTTTTTTCTGTTGCTCATAAATATTTGCAGTGAAAAGCAGTATTAACTCAGAAGATGCAATATGGCTGCCATGAATATTGGAAGCTAAAAAAGAGGTGCTCCAAATTTCATGACAAGCTTCAAAATCATTTTTTGTTAAATTACAAAATAAATCTCTCTGAAATCTTGATATTTAGCTCCATGGATAGTAGGTATCAAAGACAATCAGACTAATAAAAATATGCGGGTTTTTTATGCCAATTCACTGTACTACCACGGTTTAAGGGACACGCTAGCTATTCCAAGGGACTTATATAAAACTACGAAATCATTTGGTTATTTAAAACAAAATATCAATATAATTCATATCCGACAGGCGCTTCAGGAGGAGATATGCGACTCCTGGCAGTTAATGTACAGTAACAGAGTAGATAAATAAATCATTTTTCTTTCGTTTTTGAAGAGTTATTAAGAGACTGCCCTATCAGTAAGGTGATTGTATTGGACATTGTTGGGTAAGAAGGGCTATTAATAAGTTTATTGGCATACCTGTCTATAAGGGAGTGTCTTATCAGTAAAGTGATGGTATTTGCGATTGTTAGGTAAAACGTACTATTACTAAGTTGATTGTTATTCATGCCTGTCTATAAGGGAGTATATTATCAGTAAGATGATTGTATTGTAGATTGTGGGGTAAGGACGATTAATCAGTTGATTGGTATGCCTGTCTATAAAAGTCAGTAAGGTCATTATAATGAAGTGTTCGGAGTGATTTAGCTGATTCAATAGCTCTAATACAAATTCATTAAAATAATCAATAAATAAATGTTTAGCTATCAAACTAAGGTTAATTTAAAATTAATTCTTGTCGAATATATGTGACGTAGTGAACTGCAATTTATTGTAGTTTCATTAATCAGTTTTACTTTTGGTACCAAAATCCTTGATTACAATAATAATGTCCTGGACAGCAATTTTACGATATCAATTATTTCTGTGGCTTTTTTGGAGAGAAGCTTTAGAGTAAATACATTTGTGTTAATGAATTTAAAACACTTAAATGTAGTGTTTCTGTTGCAAAGACCTTTTTCGTCGACACTCTGAACAACCTATGGATGAGTGCTTTTGACATTCAAAGGATTTGTCAATTTTAAATTAAATTTTTCTTAATAAAACTTAATGAACTTAATTGTTTTTAAAGTGTAATTAAAATTGCTATTGTAATGTTTTATAATTAATTATGCACGTATGCATGTGACGTCATATTTGTACTTGTCTATCTGTATTATTGTTAATAATTTATGTTGTGCACAGGAGAAATGCTTGCTAGTAGCAAAATATTTCGTATTCATTTTCGTTTTGTGGCGGGAATACATTTCAATGAATCCTCGTAAACAGCCATTGGCAATTATTGGAAAAAGCTGTGTGAGCGCTTACAAACACTTCAGTTTCCTGTGAACTGCCAAGTTATTAATGCCAAGCAGAGCAAACAACATAAACAATATAAACAACATTAATGAAAACATAGGCAAAATATACAAACATCATTTAATTAAGATTAATTTACAGGCAGATGTTCATGTCTTCAAAGGCGTCACTCGGCACCAGAATTTTACTTTAAACATTCAACATTTTGGATTAACAATTTTATGGTGCATTCGAATTTATGCAATTTTATTGAACTGCATCTGCAGTTTTAAATTTCAAATTATATTTGATGAATTTGCATAATCGAAAATTTGAAATTGTCTGTCGAAGCCACTGTAAAATGTTGCATTCGATGCAGAAGAGGTATTGAACCAGCTGTCGCACTGAACCACAAATCAATCTACATACTGTAGTTAATTAAAGCAAATTGCAATTTTCGGTTGGCACTGGCCCGCCCACTCGATTTTGATCCGGATATGGTATGTCATTTATGAGACCGAAGCGTTGTAGCTACCGCAAGTGATTTTTCAAGTGCAATTTAAAATTCATTCATTCCATAATTTATTTTGATTAAAATTAAAGCACTTTTATATTTGCGAATTTCATCATAATTATGTACTTTTAAAACAATTAAAAATTTTATTAAATAGTTTTTAAAAAATAATTATTTCAAAGTGGAAGTACATATATTTTAATTTCAATTATCGTTAAAATAATTAATGCAACTCTAAGGTCAACTGAAATAATACAAATTACAATAAAAAATATATAAAAATTTCTGTCTAATAGCAAGGGAAACTTTTAATAGAGTTTTTTCGTTTTAATATAAACTCTATATATTTTTAATATTTTTTATGTTTTTAATTTCTTTTTATATTTTTAATTTAATTTTTAATATGAAATATTGAAATATTTTTAGAGCAAAAAATTGAACAGAACAACATTTACAATAAATGTGTTTTAATATTTTTGTAAAATATAAGTTGAGCTGTAAAATTTCACTTGCCTATCAACTGGAAGAGCTTGTGGGAAACGTGCGAACAGCTAGAACACGATATATTCGTAAGCACGCTCAGGACTTCTGCCCGTTTTTTTTAACCAGGTAGAAAATTAAGCTTAACCCTGCCAAGATCTTTGTCATAGTTCTCCTTGGCCAAATACGAGATGGCTCTAGTGACTTCGATGCCGCCTTCATCAAGGTAGAGTACAACCATTCCCCTATTTAGCTTGTTGACAAACTCAAGTATGTCGGTGTAGTTTTATTCACTTGGCACAACTTTATTCCACACGTCGACTATGTCGTCCATAATGCCCGGTTTAGGCATACTCAATTGAGTAATGCCATTCGAAGGCACCACCAACTTAACTGTAAAGTTAAGCTTCTCTGCTACATATATTTCATTCGTTCTCTACTCTCATACATTTTCGCCATTTGGTCTACAGTCAGCTCTACCCAGATGAAAACAATCCATTTTTTCAAGTGCAAGCTTCTACGAGATTGTATCAGCTACAAGTGCAAACCAAACAGTAAATATTTCCCCGACATCATTTTTGACAAAAAAAGCTCAAGTTTCTCGCATCGGCGAGTATCTCCTGACACTAAACCGACGGTATCTCACTCGGTTGCATAACCCTTCCCCTAACGCTTCAAATCCTCCCTAATACATCATGCTCTACTTCGATGAGACGCATTCCGATGCTTCCATTATCTCACTCTACAATCCTGGCACTCGTGACCCTGGTCACAGAGTCTATTGCTAATACACAATACCCCCCTTCTCCATCTACTCTCCTTCCACCTGGGCCACACCCATACAAGTATTTAACTCGCACATTTAGGGTTCCTTATAAACTTACACGAATTATTTATGGAATTATTAAGATATGTAAATAAATGCAATTCACGTAAAATAGGTTGGAATAGGAAAAAATAGGTTGAAATAAGTAAAATATATTTTTATAGCTTTTTTTAAACTAAATGTTATTTCAAAATCATGTAAGTATAATTACTAAAATGTCTGAAAAGATATGTACATACAATAGACTGAAAGTAATTAAAATTCAATTGAAATATAATAATTAATAATTTTATAGTTCTAATAAAATAATAATAATATAATAATTAAATTTTGAAAGACTTTATATATTCTAGAAAGTGACTATCATTAATCTAACTGTTTGTAAGTAAATTAAATTGTAAATTATGGCTTATTTCAATCTGAACTGTTTCTCAACCATTTTTGTGGTACACCTCAAAGACTTAAAAAAGCCAATGCCCTTCCTACTTACATATATAAGAAACGTTTGGGAACCTAGTTTAAACTGATCTTGTTTTAAACGACAAAAGGTGAACTACATCCTTTACCTCTTGCATGATTATTCTTTTTCTTTTCCTCGTACATTTCTATAAACGATTTCCGGAAACACGGTGAGAGTCACCTTGTTCCTAGTCCCCGCTGTTTCAAAATTAACAATATCAATTTGCATGTAACTTCAAATTTTCTTCCTGTTGAGAGATACCTGTATAGAGATACCTGCTATTGAATGAAGTGTATTGAAGAATCACTTTCGATGAAATAGCTTTACATATATTTTTATATGTGTATTTCAAAAAATGTTTACAATGCATCAGTGAGGATCAGTCAGTACTAATTTTCAAATGTTCCATTAAAAGAATTAATATTTTAGATTTAAAATGCTGCATTCGTGCGATAAGTTTAATAAAAAAACAGATCTAAAAAACATTCAAATTGCATATCATTGAACATCATAAAAAAATTAAAATCTAGATTTGAAATATTCCAAAACATTCTAAGATAGTATATATGAAGCTTCATTTGCATTTGCACGTACACATTTACGTGCAGATCTATGCACTGAAATCAACTCATTGCAAGATGGCTTCAAACTGGAGTGGAAAAAAAAGTATTTCAATAATTCTGGATTTTATGAAATAATAACTTAACAGCAATAACTGTAACTGTAACTGTAACTGTAAGTGTAACAACAGGAAACAACAGCAAAGCAGAAGCGACAACGGCAACGGCAATGACAACGACAACGACAACGGCACTAGAAAGTGTAAAAAATAGTCATAATGAAAATAGAAAAGCGACACACGATGAATTATTCTCGCACATCCTCCAGTGTGAACCAGGAGTATTCCATGGTGGAGTAGAAGTAATTTTAATTTCGCAAGATATGTCGCATAGTACGCTCCGTTTGTTTGAAGCAACACTTTATAAATTATTGCAATCGTATCACAGCCCTTCGCATGCCATTCCAAGTAGTGTTCATATTTTTCACTTGTACAACAGAAACAACAACAGAAACAACAACAGAAACAACATCAGCAATCCTGATATGTCCTATAAGCCGTTGTAGTTTTGCATGCACATAGGAAAGCAACATGCAACTGCATATTATGTCATGGCGACTTCCGTTTCATTTCGTTTGGTAGTGTTGCGTCGTGTTCTGAAATCCTGCTTTTGAATACCAAAGCTTTGGGTATGTTGATACTGACAACAGCCCTGGAAATAACAACAACTTCAAGGCATATTTTGGGTTTTTGTATATTAATACGGAAAGCCAGTACACTTCAATTTCGCAAGCGAACTTTATTCTATGCCACCCTAGTCCACTCAAGTACCACCAAATTTACTAAATGAGTGGCTTCCGCCGCAAAATTTCTATGGTTAGGTTAAGTCTACTACGGCTGGTTTGCATATTAAATGTTGTTAACTATAAAAAGCGGCAATTAAAAAAAATATTTATTGTAATTTTAGATTTTTTTTTAAATTTTTAAAATATTTTTCTTTTGAAATTGGGAATGTATTTTTCTCAAATTTTTATACACCGATCTAAATGCAATCTCGATGTTTTGAACAAAGTGATTAAAATGAGTGGTTGATTTGCTATTTAATTTTTATATTCTACAGTATTAGAGGATCGTATTTATTTTAATTTAAAGACAATTCTCTTTAAACAAATTAATTGAACAATTAAAAATTAAGTTTTTAAAAAATTAGTTTTAGAGAAAAAGTTATTTTGATGTATTATGAGCTTATGTCATATTATTCATTATTCATCAAATGATCAAATTTATATCGTAATATTGTAATAAATATCGTAATATTATGCTAAATATCGTAAAAAGTATTTAAATTCTTTAAAAACAACACAAAGAAGTCATCAATCGATTTCATTTCTCGTCTTTAATGAAAATCCCATCAAGTGGAATATAGTAATGCCATCGCTCGCTCCGTTTTATTTTCATAATTGACTTTTCGTAGTGCAAGTCTTCAACTTTTTATAGGCGCTTTCTTCAAAGTAATAGTTTTAGTTTTGAAAAAAAAAAATGTCAAACGGGCTCATGTCCTTCACATTCATTGACTTCTCTACCAAAAACTCTTAGGAAACGCGACATATTTTACTCAATTTATAAATTTTAGATACTTTGTGCAGTAGTAATATACATGATAAGCCAATTCAACTGTGATCAACTTCCAACTGATGTACTTTTCCAACTGATGGCAACACTACATCGAGGACTACTAACAGCGCATTTTATTATTAACATAAATTACGTAAATAACGTAACGAATGTATTTATATCTGAGATTTTCAAAGAACATTGTCTGTAATGGAATTTAAATATGGTACCAGAGGCATATAGGTATAGGTGTCCTACACCAATTAAAAAATTGGCGAAAAGATTTGATAGTTCATAAAACATGTTTCTCTCAATCAATGCAACGTAACGAATATTCACAATGAAAATTAAAGTAACATCCAAAGATAAAATCTGAAAACATCCAGCGAGTATAGTACTATTCCGGTTTTCATTTTTAATATCAACTCCTCTGTTAAGAAAATTTTGCCAATTGAACAATTAAAAATAAACAAGATGATCAATGTCACTGAAAAGGGAATTCCCACAAAATTAAGATATTCGAATGGCTATCAGAAATCAGAAACCAACATTTGTGGAATTATAGGTAGCAGATGGTTGCTTTTTTTTAGTGTTTTGGATCAAAGTTTCCCAAAAACAAATTTTGAAATGGACTCTGAGACTGTGAGCACCTATACACTGTTGAGACAGAGCGGACTATTAAATAGGATTATACACTATCACACAATGTCTGCATCAAATAAGAAAGGCTAAAAACAACGTTCCTGAATTCATTTGTTCCCACGGCGATCTTCAACCGTCTGGCTTCTTAGTACGGTACGCTTGTAGGCATAAGGAAAAAGTACTATAATGATGTGGTGGTCAACCCCTTCTTTGTGTGTTGAGAACTACTCTGCACGTTTTCATTTGAGTTAGGTACAAATCCATAGTTTTGCAGCTTTGATTCATAGTTCAATACGGAAACAGGATTATCGATCATTTAAAATAGTTGTTCTAACTTCCTTTGTCCGTTGGTTCCATAAAATTCAATTTGTAATAGAAAAAAATTTTCCTGTAAATGTACGTATTTTGTTTATTAAAATTGTTTAATTATTGCAAAATTTTTAAAGTTGCGTTTGGAATTTAATTTTAATAATATTTAAAAATTAAAATCATAAAATGATGAACTTTTACCCTTAACTTCTTCTCAACGAGATAAGTTGTGCTTAAATGTCAGTCCAAAGTTATTTGGAGCGGGCTTGACTAATGTGTACACAATTTAGTTCGTCCGACGGCATAACATGATGTTCATCCTTCTATTTACAATTCCGTTAAATATGCAACATTTCGCTGCAAAATTTTAATTTTTTAATGGATTATAGAGCAGCGCAAAATTCAAACATTTTATTTACATAGGAAGGAATTAAACTCGACAGCGTCGTGCTGGAAGGATTAATCTGCATTTCCTACAAATTTTATTGCTGTAGTGCAAAAGGCAAAATATGCCAAAATTGTAGTTACTAAATCTTTATTATTTTGTAAAAATTAAGTTTAATATAACCAGTAAGTGATGTTGAATACAAACTAATGCATATGCTAGTCGCAGGATTCTCTACAATATACAAAATATGAATATAGGCTTTGAAACATCGGGGTCAATAAGATTAACAGACTTAAGCAGATCTAGAGAAATAGATGTATTGATAGCACTCATAGTAAAAGTATTTTTAAAAATTAATATACAAACTTTAATCGCACAAAGTAAAAAGTTGAATAAAAGATGAAATGCCGCAAAAAGGCAAAGGTTTTACTGCACAGAGTTCC